TCAGGGAACACTTTTTTTTTATCTGTATTTGTAAATTTGTATATTGGAAGCAATGTAAAACAATGCTTAAACATCATACCACTATATTTTTAATTATAAACATGCTAAATATGCACATAAATACCACATTATCCTGCATTACCAAGGACAAGTTACTTAATCAAACAGCACACTGTGATATCAAGATCTTTCAAACAGTAAGGAATGTTAAGTAAAAACTGGGGTGTACATAGTCTTCTATTCATATCCCATTATTTTTCTGGATATGACCCTGATTATTATTATAAACACTAGCATATACCCGTGTTCCGCACAGTGTTGAATAAGTGGGGAAAAGTGGCGATGTATATTGTTGAATGTAATAGGAAGTCGAGGAAGCAATCATTGTGGATGTTATGGTTAGAATAATACTTTTCTAAAGGATGTTTTTGTAGATGAGCGTCTTTGCTGGATAGAGTCCTTGTAAGGAATTATTGTCCAGTTTGTTGAAGTGCGGATTCAGAATTTTTCTAACGGGAAGGGGGGAGGGGGGTTTACAGAATGGGTGAGTAGCACATAACATAATATGCACTGAAATTTAAAAAATTTAGTGGAAAAAGCAGGAGACACGTGTCCAACACCCCCCCCCCCCCCCCTTTTACTGAATCTGCCCCTGTTGATCTGACCACACTCCACTTCCTTACTGGATCCGCCCCTATTGCTCCGACGAAATTTCAAAAATTTAGTGGCAAAACAGAAAGGCATGTGTTCAACACCCCCTTCTTCCACCCCTACTGGATCTACCGCTATTGATCTGTCCAATCCCCTCCCCCCACTGGATTCACCAATGTTGATCTGTTGTGTTTACGTAAATTCGAGTTTTGATTGGTGGAGTTGGCTTGACCCTAAATTTCCACTACCCCCATTAATGGATCCGCACCCAGTTGATCCGACGTGTATTACGTAAATTTGAGGTGTTGATTGGTAGAGCTAGCTTGACCCTAAATTTAACCTTCAGTGTCGCTATGTTTTTTTCATGCACAATGGCATTGCGGAAGAATAGCCATATCGACCCGATCCAAATCGACCTGGATTCGAAAGAGAGGGGTCTACGGACACTCTAGTACTGTACAGTAGCTATGCTGGCTAGGCTAGCTACAGTAGGCCTGTATGGGAAGGCTAGGGTAGGCTTAGACGAAATTATTAGGCATTGGCCTAAGCTTTTAATATCAGGTCTAATTATGCCTAGGCGTACGTTAATGTTTAGCTGATCGATTTCTAAAACATGCCATATATTTTATTGCTAATGTGTTTGAGGCATATAATACTACAGTAATATATTCAGTATACAATAGATACTCCTCCATGTTCATGTTGTTAGAAGCAGATACAAGAACATTTTGCTTATATATTTTGTTGATGCGAGGCATGCGTGGTGACGTAATGAAGCTGCCAAACAGACTGCTTCTTTTACGGCCTGATGCGATATTTTTAAAATCTGAGGATTGTGGTACAGCTTAACAGAGGGGATTTATTTATGTGATCAAGGGCGTCGATCCGTGGTTGAAAGCGGGAGGGGGGGGGACGAAATGAAAAATAAAGTCTTTGGCTGTACGCCCAAGCCTTGGTTGGGGACCAGGGGGAAAATCCCCCGGAAGCTCTGGCACCTATAGCCTTTCAATTGATTTTAAGCATTTCCATACGAAATTTTTAAAGTATCCAGTGGCGGATCCAGTGATTTGAAATAGAGCTGGGCCCAGAGAGGGACTTTTACAGATGGAGAGAGTAGACCACCTCATTTATGATTATGACACCTCTACTGTAGATTGCTGGACATGGCACTCTCAGACCTAAATTCTTATAATTATAATTTTCCTTTGTTTTTTCCATTTTTAAAAAATAATTTTGAAAAATTTAGGGTCGGCTCGGCCCCACTTGAATCCGCCACTGATTATTATGACATCATTGCGAGATTGCGTCAACGTAACACTGGAGTTTGTAAACTTTTGGCATCACTAAATCGAAATAGATAGACATGTCCGTGTCAAAGGCTGTATAATTATTGTTTAATAATAGCTATATAAAATTCAATTGACTACCTATAATTTTTTGAAATTAGGAAAAACAGTAATCCTATGTATGTAGATAATATTAAACACTAGTATATACGTACGGGTCATAATAACATACAAAAAGAATAAATCGTTTATAGCAAAAATTGTGCACTTTTGAGTTTGTAAAAATATTGGCCTAATAAGTATACACGCTTCCAATTTTAACAACGTTCAGTGCATTGTTTTCACAATAAATTTAGCCTCTGATAACTGCTGCACCCATAAAATCAATCTAGTGGTTTCGGAGATGGTTACGAAATATAAAAACAATTGCGTTTCTACACTCGGTTTTGGTCCGGAAAATATGTACCGCACTTGGAAGAGTGGACAGAAAAAAATTCATGATTCATGCGTAATTGTTATGCTTTCCATTCACTTTTAAAAGTGGGATTTTAATTATAGAAGATTGGTGAAAAGTGGGCGAACAATCGATATGATGTCTCCCCTACCTTGAAAAGTGGGGGACGTGTCTCCCCTGTCCAAAACTGATCGGCACCCATGAATGTGATGTAAGGGACTTGCGAAAGATGGTGTAAAAGGTACTGATTTTTGGTAGTTTTTGGCCGTTTTTTGTGTTGTTATTCAATATCCAGCCTTGAAAAGAAGTGGAATGTGGTCGTGTGACCTATAGAAACCAGTGTATGAGATATGAGTACATTCCTGCCACCAATTTCAGGAGATAGGTGAAGTTACACGGAGGCGATTAGCAGAATTAATATATATATAGATTATCATTCACTCAGTTTTTCATTTTTAGCATACAATACAGGTATGTCCAAGTCAAATGGAAGTACAGGTATTTATAACCTTCTACAATATTTTATGATAGTTTTCAAGGACAATCTTCTAAACAGGAAGTATATTTTTGTTTCCTTGAAAAGAACAAACAATAATAAATATACAATGAAGAGGAACAAATGCAATGACCAAAACGCTGACAGCAATGATATAATTTATTAATGAAACCATCTGTCTATTAAAACTACAATGATTTGAAATTTGAACAAAGGATTACCATTAGGTAATTCTTTAGTTCTCAAATTAAACAATGTAACATTATTCTGGGATTCAGTTAGGTGGGATAGTTTGTTAGGTGAGATATTTTATTGGGTGAGACCTTTTGTAAGCAAGAATACTTCTCATGGAGTGCTAGGGGTGAAAATGTTGTAAATTTTGTAAATTGAGAGAAAATTATAAATAAGCTTATCATATTTTCAAAATTATATTTTTACATAGCTACTACATTGATATTTCATTTTTATAACAGACGGATAGATTTTAAAATTTCTACAGCGCTAATAAATATGAAAGTTTTCACTAGTGCTTTAAATATAAATATTTGAGAATGTTGCTTGTGGTTACTATGGGATTGGAACCTAAGATTCTGTACTATCATCGTAGCACATGCTTTTTATATAGGCCTACAGTACTTATATCCACTGAGTAAAGTAGTGTTATGCACTGAGTAGAGACAATGACATTTAAGTGTCACAAGGGAGTTTATGGACACAAAAGTAATCATGGAGATGATAGCAGTGCAGCTTAATGATGACAGAACGGTATTGTGTTGACATTGTCCACAAACTACAGCAGTTTATGTGTTTGACATCACTTTACAATAAATAGCTTCCCCTGGATAATGTCACAGATTAAATAGACTTAGCCGATAAATGTAGCCTACGATGTTGTTTGAACAATTGAACAGGACATTTAAGATTTTGTTATCAAGTTAAAAAAATACCATGCTACATTATTAGATAGAGAAGTTATTGTACAGATTTAAATCAAATCCAAATTAAAAATAGAATTTACTGTATTTACCTACTACCTAAAATAGACAATTTTTCCTACAGTAACAAAATACTAAAATGTAATTAATTACTGTATCCCTACTTAAATTTCTTGTATATTCTATATTAATTGCTAAACTATTTGTATATCCAAATCCCACAGAAAAAAAATAGTTACTTTTTTTTATTACTATGGTATAGTCAATGTTCAATGTACTTGATGGAAAAGGTTAAGGCATTCATCCAAGATGAAGCTTTGTGCTGTAAGAGTTAACCTCTTAAAATATAGTAGGCCTACTGTATAATAAGAAGTGTTCACTCTTTCTAAAAACAAGCATTCTGAACCTGCAGTCTTTCATTTTACTTTGCCTTTTTGCATACTGTTTAAATACATGATTGATGTCTTTTAAACAATTTTACAGATAATTACAATCCAGTGTTTGTAACAAAGTGTATCTGAAAATTACAATAGTTAGCTAGACTAAAAATAACTAATAATTTATTTTTGTGAAACTGATTATTTAGTGAATAAAATCAAAGCTATTGGTTGGCTAGTGAAGAAAATCAAGGCTATGCATATTCAGCCATCTTAACATCAGTTAATTAAGCAAATTCCTTGTTATCTGCATGGCTGTCTATTCTGGCTCTGTGCCAAGTCCATCAAAAAGACAGTGTCTTTTCACAAAGACAGTGGTTGAAAATATACGGATAGTGTAAGATTTATGTGGTGATGATGATAATGGTGTAGACGATGGTGGTGGCGATTATCCTCTTGGAAATTGTGATGATAATGGTGATTGTGATTATTATTATGATGATGATGATGACAGTTTTCAAATCTTTTAACTTTATTATGCATTACAAGTAAATAACCTTTGTGGAAAGCCAACTAAAGCGATTACTTAGGGTCTTTGAATCATGCATACATGAATATCATTTGTAAAAGAAATCTGGAAAATAAACTTTGCCAATAGTTGCTGATTAAATTCCCATGCAACAGCAAGTCACCGTACTTACTAATAAGATGTAATGTGTAAAGTGTCGTTATGAGGGGTTGGTATGGTGATTAAACAACATAAAGGTGTGTGAAAACTAATAAAGGAGAGTACATCCTCACCTGATAAGAACACATTGATTAGCTGTTTGTTTCCACATGGAATAATATGTGTCATTTGCTATTGCGTAGATGTGAGGCGGCAAATCACCAATATGCCGCTTATCGTAAGCCTCCATCACTTCAAAATCGTAAAGTCTTGGAATGGTCTTGTATGGATTAACAGCTGCCAATATGGAACCAATGTACGTCTTGAAGAAAAACAAATTAGAAAAATATTATCATTATGGGTTGATCATGAAGAAGTACTGCAGAGATGTAAGCTGGCTGGCAATAATTCCAGGCCTTCTAATTCAAGGGTACTTGGTTATATATCAGATATGTTTTTCAAGAATAACAAATTCCCCTCCAAGAATCTTCATATGAGACTATAAACTACTGTAAGTCTTATTAAGAATACCATTACACATCTTACCCTTCCCAACCCTGAAACTGGAGAGTGTAGTTGTTGGATATAAAAGGAAAATATTAATTTAACTTGCAAAAAAAATGATTCTATTTTCTTAAAATATGACAGTTATGGTACACAGTACTACTGTATAGAGCTTGATATTTTCAGGATGTGATTAATTGAAACTTGATTGGTTTTTATGAGCCTGTAGCCAGCTTACAACTGGAGGTTATGCTTGCCATCCAGGATCCTGACAATTGATTTCATTTCTAATGTGGTTGTTGATACCAAGGATTCAATAGATGGTTTATTTCACCAAAAACATGGAGTCAATGTTTGTAATGAATAATAAGTAAATGTCTTTGTGACAAAAACAGCAATTTTATAAGAGACCCACAAAAACAGATAACTCACATCCGAGGCTGGATTCGGCCGTAAACCCAAATACACATGTAATCCAATAATAGCCTTGGGGCTAATTCTGACGGTCGTCCGGACAAGTAAAGTAAGAACCAGTAAAACCAGTAACTTGCGTAATGTCTTTCCTTCATCCAAAGTCAGACACAAGATTTTCAACAATATTTTTGTTGTTACTGTATAAAACTATCCATAATCTAGCCTTTGTAATTTGATTTGGAACTTCTTCAGTGACGTGAAAACAAAATGAGGAAATTGGGAAAATAAAATGAGGAAATTGGGATTGGGATTGAACATAGGCTACGGTCACACTAGCGTCTCAAGTCTGGCTTGACTCACCGCGGGTGAGATTTCAAGCCAGGCCCGAAATTCTGGGTCGGTCAAACTAGTTGGATGAAAGTCGAAACAGCAGAGCCGTAGAGAGAGAGTTTGGCCAACTCTGTTTCACGGGATTCGATATACGCGCGTGTGATTGGATGGATCGCAATCAAAGATTTTACACCAGATGTGCCCGAACCACTCTTCTTCAACTGATCTTTTATCAGCTTGTGTTTGGCTCGCAATGCCTTCACTTTTGTTTGAATTTGGGCCGATGTTCTCTTCTCATGTCCGAGACTGGCTAATCTGTCAGCAAGCACGCCAAAAATTCCCGTTTTGTTGTTTGTTTTTTTATTTTCTATCCGGTCTCTCAGCTCGGGTTGGCCGCACAAATCTACTAGGTCAGCAGTTTCCTGGTCGCTCTCCAAATCAATCGCATTATTATTAATTAAAATTTGAATTAACTTTTATGAAAAGTAATGATTGCGTCTTGATTAAACACACATGAAGGGTTTTTTAATCAAGAACTTCTAAATACAACGGCGTCATCGACTGTGATTGGTCGACAGCCGACGAGGAAATGTCAATCTCGGTCACGCCAGGGTCAATCCAGGGTCAATATGGGTGCTGAGCCGGGATCGAGATAGGTAGATTGAGATCGAGGTCACGCCAGGCGCGAGTCGGGGCAGATGCGGTCACATTACGAAAATCTCACCCGCGGTGAGTCAAGCCAGGCTTGAAACCCTAGTGTGACCATAGCCATAGGGTTTTTACTCTGACCTGGTTGTTTACAAATCTAAATCTAAAGGTCAATTTGACACGGCCTTCTTACACATGATTAATTACACCTGGAGGCAACGTGTAATTGAAATATCAACTAAAAAAGATGGTTTTTTCGGCTAGATGTTTTTCAAATTTTTTATAGCTAGGGGGAATAGTTAATTGATACACGTGGCCTCTCAGCTGCAAGTACCCAATAAAAATTTACTCGTCCAAAACAGTCCCAAGTGAATGATTCTGTCATGTGATTTTCTATTGTAATTTGTCTATTACTATTTAATTTTTTTATATTAATTTTTGTTTTGTTGATTTGCACAATGTCGTTTACGGCCTTGTTCAAAAACACCATTGAGGTGAACAAGTGTTTCCATGGTTATATAAAGTTATTATTATTATTATAATGAATGTCCATGCAAATGAATGTGGGTTGTTGCTTTTTAATGTTGGAAATTACCAAACAATGTCCATACATTCACTTGCTAGTGCGTATTTTGTTAATGTGGTGAATTACCATGCACTCGCTTTCTAACGTGGGTGTTACTTGCTAATGTGGGTGAATGAATGTCCACGCATTCACTTGCTAGTGGGTGTTTTTGATAATGTGGTGAATTACGCACTCGCTTTCTTATGTGATTGTTACTTGCTAATGTGGATGAATGAGTGTCTATGCATTCACTTGCTAGTGGGTATTTTGTTAATGTGGTGAATTACCATGCACTCGCTTTCTAACGTGGGTGTTACTTGCTAATGTGGGTGAATGAATGTTCACGCATTCACTTGCTAGTGGATGTTTTGTTAATGTGGTGAATTACCAGGCACTCGCGTTCTAACATGGGTGTTACTTGCTAATGTGGGTGAATGAATGTCCACGCATTCACTTGCTAGTGGGTGTTTTTGATAATGTGGTGAATTACCACGCACTCGCTTTCTTATGTGATTGTTACTTGCTAATGTGGATGAATGAGTGTCTATGCATTCACTTGCTAGTGGATGTTTTGTTAATGTGGTGAATTACCACGCACCCGCTTTCTTATGTGGGTGTTACTTGCTAATGCGGATGAATGAGTGTCTATGCATTCACTTGCTAGTGGATGTTAATTAATTTTGGCAATTACCAAACACTCACTTTCTGACGTGGGTGTTACTTGTTAATAGGGGTGAATGAATGTCCATGCATTCACTTGCTAGTGGGTGTTTTGTTAATGTAGTGAATTACCATGCACTCGCTTTCTAACGTGGGTGTTACTTGCAAATGTGGTTGAATGAATGTCCATGCAAGTGAATGCATGGACATTTATTCACCCACATTAGCAAGCGAAACCCACATTAGCAAGTGAATGCATAGACATTTATTCACCCACATTAGAAAGTAAATGCATGGACATTCATTCACCCACATTTCGTTCGCAATAGTCACATGTAGGCCTATTGTTTCAGGAAATAATTTGTTTTCAGACTCAAGATCTGTCAGTTTGAGTTTCTGAGACAAATGTCATATTGGTATTTGAAATATGTATTGAAATTTGATGTAAAATATATTGTATGCCATGTGTCATTTAAAAAATTTAGCATGCCATGTGGCAACAAAATTCAAAGTGTTCTCTATCGCTATGAAATGCTATGAATGTTAATTGATGTTTGTTTAAGGTATCCACACAGGTTCAATGGTAATTTTTCACCTTTTTAATGATATCAAATGTTAAATAAATCTTTCAATTTGTTAATAAATAATAGTTACTCATTAGTGTACAATCAATCAATTAATGAAATAGTTTACAAATCAAACATTTATTTATGATCTAAAAATGACATCAATCATAATTAATCAATCATAATTATCATTATCAATTTATATTCAATAATTACTATCAATTAATAAGAAATCAATTATTATTATTATTTCATTGTTAATCAAATAATTATCAATTATATATAAAATGATAATCAATTAATTAATAAATCCATATTAATATAAATCATTAATCAATCTACAATTAATGTTGTTACTATAATGACACAGCTGTGTAAATGGCAAAATGTATGCAGGTGCACCTTGTAAAATGCGGATATGGGCTGTGTCCAGGATGTTCCTTTAATAACAGATAAAGATAAATGAGACTAGCATCAAAATCAATGGGCAAGGAACTGCATTAATGTGCACGCATGTTCTTCCGTTGGAACTTGTGACAGGAGCCACATTAAAAGGCGCGAGGATTAATGTACCAACATTAACACATTTGCCTGTTCCTGAGTTAGTATTACACAAATAATTTACAAATGACTGAGTCATTAGCAACTAACATGTGTTACTTACGTAAATCTGATCTGCTTCAAATCGTTGCCGGATATTTTCTAATATGCTCTCCACTTTAAGGTCTTGTAGCTTGGCCATGTCGGACATGCCAGCCTGTGCAACCTGTAGTATCTCCAGTGTGGTTGCCATCTTTTAAGAAGTCACTGAGACGTGTCACTCAAAAGAACAAAACTACTGATCACGTTCTAATATTCGTCATGTATCTATTTAAAAACAATAGAAATTAATATTTAAAAAATAGTAGTTTGGCTGTCTTTATTTTAAAAATTAAAAAAAAAAGCATTTGATTGACAGTAAGACCAGGGAGTTGTTATAGGGTTTGTTTCTACTGTTAAGAAATAATCGATTAAAAATCACTTTTCCGAAAAATCGCTTTTATTCTGGCAGTAGTAACAGGACCAGTTTGAAAAAAGCGATTAAAAAAAATCGATTAAAAATACGCGATGGATAGCGTGTTTGAATGGCAAATAACCGATTTTGGCTGTGCACCTTTTAGCTGCAACACGTTAGTATTACACAAATAATTTACAAATGACTTTGAGTCATTAGCAACTAACATGTGTTACTTACGTAAATCTGATCTGCTTCAAATCGTTGCCGGATATTTTCTAATATGCTCTCCACTTTAAGGTCTTGTAGCTTGGCCATGTCGGACATGCCAGCCTGTGCAACCTGTAGTATCTCCAGTGTGGTTGCCATCTTTTAAGAAGTCACTGAGACGTGTCACTCAAAAGAACAAAACTACTGATCACGTTCTAATATTCGTCATGTATCTATTTAAAAACAATAGAAATTAATATTTAAAAATTAGTAGTTTGGCTGTCTTTATTTAAAAAAAAAAAAAAAAAAAAGCATTTGATTCACAGTAAGACCAGGGAGTTGTTATAGGGCTTGTTTCTACTGTTAAAAAATAATTGATTAAAAATCATTTTTCCGAAAAATCGCTTTTACTCTGGCAGTAGTAACGGGACCAGTTTGAAAAAAACGATAAAAAAAAATCGATTAAAAATACGCGATGGATAGCGTGTTTGAATGGCAAATAACTGATTTTGGCTGTGCACTTTTTAGCTGCAACACAAACAAAGCGATTATCAGGTGAAATGTGACCCCTGGTCAATCACTGCAAAGACTAGATCGTATTAGGTGCAAACTTTAAAAAAAAATTGTCCTCTTGTTCATGTCCTAGGCCTACAAGCTAAAAACATGTGGAGCGACAAATTCGTTTTGTAATTATTTTGTGGTGGGATATTGGGCCTAGGCCTCTCCGATCTTTTGGGCCTACCGTTGTCCTCGTTTGGTCGCTCATTAATTGTGCCAATGAGCACAGCCGAAGACATTTGCCTTCTCGCCCCACACCGTATCTTACTCCTCGTCATCATGACAGGAATGAGAAAGATACTATCCTATATAGTTAGGAAAACAACGTGTTGTATAAACAAAATGTTGACGTAATTTCCGTCTTGAAATCCAACTTTCAAAAAAGAAAAAATGCAGTTGCAACACAAGCAGGCTGTCTGGTACTCATTAAAAAAGCGGTTTAAAAAAATCGATTATTAGGTATTTATCAGTAGAAACACACCCATAGTGGAGATCCAATGAACTCAGGACCATTTGAACTATGTTGCAGACCGGCGAGGGTGGTCGTAAGCTAATAGATTCGCACATTAAATTCTTATTTACATAACTTTCAGTTGTACCGTTACTAACAAAATGACATAATTCTGCCAGATATCATCACACAATTAATATTTTAAAAAAAATTAGTTTGGCTGTTTTTATTTTGAAAATTTAAAAAATAATCATTTGATTCACAGTAAGACCAAAAATAACAACTAAATCCCTGGTAAGACCAAGTATAAAAATAAATTAATTGATTATCAAAACAATCTACAGTACAATACTTCCTTATTTTTTGTATTTTTAATTATTATTTCCCTATTCCCCACCATTCAAATTTTCTTTGGTTAATGGAATAACTTATCAGTCAATTTTTTTTATATAACTTCCTCGAAAATTTGGCATTGTAGGTCAGCTGCAGTCAAAAAAGGGCCTTTGTTCAATTACCTGGGACTAAGTTGAATTGAAGTTGGCACAGAGGTTTGACAATGATTGCAATTTACAGTTGAGTGTGATCCAGTCTTGGTATGCATGGATAGGGTTAATATACTCCATAATATATAGTTAACATCTTAGAACAAATGATTGAATTTGAATAGTAAAATCTTTAGAAAAGTCAATGAAAAATGATGATTGTAAATATTTGTTGCTTAGTGATGGAGTACAAATACAATGGAAAAGATGTGAGGCAACTGACATAATTTTACATACAACTGGAAAATGTAACTCATTAAAGATAATTAACTTAAATGATAATGAGCAAACTGATCATAAATATGTGTTGAAATCAGTTGGAAGGCCAAGGCCAAGCTGATACATTATAAGATCATCAACATAATTCTAGGGATCACCTCAAAATGATTCTACAAAGAAGCAATTCATTCATTATTTCTACCTGATTTAAATTCCCTTCTTATTATAAGCACTCTCTTCTTTCCTCCATAAATATTCTTGCTAGACAGTAAATCTATCTATGAGATTACTGAGCACAAAAGCTTGAGTGTAAGCAGATCTTACTGAACTTGAGGCAGCATCTCACAATGATCAAAGGATCTGTTATTTACCTTGTTAAGACTTCATTTTTTACATACCATGTCCACTAGAATTCCTATAATGATGATTATGCACAACCCACCCATACAATGGTTGTTTTAAAATCTATAGAAATAATATACAAATAAAAGAAATGTTCCTTATAAATTGCTGTATGTGATACAACATAATGGAATTCGAACTACAGTATCACCAATGATGATCCTATTAGGTCCTGGGTCCTCAAACCAAAAACAACTTACTATATAGTAATAGCGTTTTGTGGGACTTACTATTAGTTACTACAGCATTATCAACAGTATTTGTGGTAACTATATTGATATAATTCCAACAGCAAACAATACCAGGGACCTGATGTTTGTTTACAAAAGTTAAATGGTGTGTGTAGAAACTTGTTGATTCTCTATGCGTCATACCTACTGTAGCTAGCCTACCTCCTGCAGTTAACACATTCCTAACATAACAACCTCTCTATGCATTTGGGTTGACATAACCTCATAAAACAGGATAACCTACAATTTCACTACATTGTCGTTAAGATTTTAGACTTTATCATACCACAAAACAAAAAAATCACCTAGGCCTACTCAGTAGATAAATTGAAAAATATTTTAGGCTTAAATAAATAAGAGCTAGTAGAAATAAGTAAAATATCGTAGTAATAGTATGGTACAGGATTTATAGTCGTGTATATTATTTTTACAGGGAGTCTCAAAGTGATTGGGTTTCCCTTTGACAATCCTAGGTTATTATATTTGAAAAGAAACTGGCATGCGGCAGCATTGCTAAATAATGGGACGGCCTAGCTGAGCAGTCTAGGACAGGGTGGCCCAATCAGGGAACGGCCTATCTGAGCAGTCTAGGACTGGGTGGCCCACTCAGGAAACGGCCTAGCTGAGCAGTCTAGGAGAGGGTGGCCCACTCAGGGAATGGCCTAGCTGAGCAGTCTATGACAGGGTGGCCCACTCAGGGAATGGTGTACGGTAAGAATGGCCAGGAAAAAATGGCCCCGGTAAAAATGGCCCCAAGTGACAGGTAGGAAAAATTGCCTCAATAATTAAATTCTGTATTAAAACTGATCTTTTTAAAATCATTATATGCATTTTTTTAACTGAAATAATTTAGTTTTTAAAAAGGAATCTAACATCAAATAAATTGCTATTTACATTTTACTTCTTGCAGGAATTACATATTCAATGATAAAATATTCAAAGATAAAAAAAAGCCACGAATAACACTTTTCATTATTTTTTTTTTCATTTAAATGTTAAAAAATAGCAACAACATGATCAATAAATCAACATAAATCATGCATTTATTAATACTAAAATAATTTATTTGTGGCCAATTTCACGGAAGCGGAATCGCAATTTTCCAGAAATTCAATCCGGGTATTATTGGTAAACCACACAAACAATGAGTTTATAAGAACATCAAATTATTATTATTTTTTTTAGAAAAAGAGAGTTCTACAATCATAATTAATGGGCTTGGATTGGGTTCGCAGTGTGTTTGGATGTTTGTGGTGTATTTGCAAGTATTTTTTCACAAAAAAAAAACTTTTTAACCAAAAAATAGGTACTTATGAATATTCAATTTTCGTAGTGATATACCAAGTGAGTCAATCACAATTGAATTGTTTGGTTTTCTACAGTGTGTTTTGGGATGTTTGTGGGATTTAGAAATACCATTTAATCCTATCATAATTACCCAACCCTCACAATTACACTCCATTTTAATTCTTTATCATGATTGCCATATTCACATATATATAGTATTTCAGTTTACATAATTTAGTATAGTTAAAGGCACTTAAATTTAGTTGGCGGGGAGTAAAAACCAAGTACAGCATGCAATTAAATGAGTTGCTTAAATAAATGTAGGCCTATTCCTAATTTCAGTTTACTTTAAAAACAATATTTGATTAACAAATACTTCTTTGAATTAACTCTAAGCAGAACATTTATTGCTAAGTTTGTGAGAAAGTAAGCCTCTCCCTTTTCCTATACATGAACTTGTGATTCAAACACACAATTGATTCACATGATTTAACTACTGTTCATTTGCACTGTTTATAACATGTAAAGTTCATTTGATACTTACCAAAAGTGAATTTTGTGGTTATCTATGAGTTGCATATTTTGGTAGTTGAAGTACTGTGTGTATGTCATTCCTCTACTTTGATAGTGAAATAATGTTTTTAAAACTTATTTCTACTATCAAAAAAGTGTTATTCAATGGCCATTGTTTTCTGATAATCTCTCAGTACATTATTTGCATCTGTTGTGTAACTGTATTTGTTATTGATTCAATTCTTGCTAGTCTACAATAGGGTGGCCCACTCAGGGAACAGTCTACCTGTAGCTCAGCAGTCTACAAGAGGGTGGCCCACTCAGGAAATGGCCTAGCTGAGCAGTCTACGAGAGGGTGGCCAACTCAGGGAACGGCCTATCTGAGCAGTCTACGATAGGGTGGCCCATTCAGGGAATAGCCTAGCTCAGCAGACTACAAGAGGGTGGCCCACTCAGGAAACGGCCTAGCTGAGCAGTCTACGAGAGGGTGGCCCACTCAGGGAATGGCCTAGCTGAGCAGTCTATGACAGGGTGGCCCACTCAAGGAACGGCCTAGCTGAGCAGCCTACGAGAGGGTGGCCCACTCAGGGAACAGCCTAGCTGTGCAAGGGGCCTACCATAGTTTTTCCTAATGAACAATCAAATCAAACTTCACTGATTGATCAGAATAGGCCCAGACATGTGTATGTCCTACAAATACACTTGTCCCACAAACAAACATGTGCATATGTTTTGACACTGTAATTTTTTGGGACATTTAGCAACAATATTCAAGGGGTGTAGTTTATCAGAAAGGTCCACTGTGTTTCCAGTGTAAATGCCTGAGATTTAATATAAGTAAAAAATATAACAATCCATAAAATAATGTTGTAATACAGTCAATATTTAATGAAATTCTCTAAAACATAATATATTTACCAAAATTTAATAAGCTTTAGTTGTAACAGTTATATGTTAGCTTAAGTCGATTATTTTTAAAGGATTTTAAGTTTTGTTTTCTAGACAATGTTATTGATATCTTACCCTCTAAC